AGAATGAAGTAGAAAGGAAAGTGCTTGGAACAGTGCCTGGAACATTGTAAATTAATAAGTACTCAATAACTAGTCATTATCATTAGTGCCATGATTATTATTATTAAATTGGGAAGATGTGGGCCAGGCGCAATGGCTCACGCCTGTAATCCCAGCACTTTGGGAGGCCAAGGCAGGCGGATCACCTGAGGCCGGGAGTTCAAGACCAGCCTTGACCAACATGGAGAAACCCCATGTTGGCTTCTCATGTAAAATGTCAAATTTTAACCCCATGTCAAAATGCAAAATTACCCGGGCATTGTGACGCACGCCTGTAATCCCAGCTACTCAGGAGGCTGAGGCAGGAGAATGGCTTGAACCGGGGAGGCAGAGGTTGCAGTGAGCTGAGATCACACCGCTGCACTCCAGCCTGGGTGATGAGAGCAAAACTTCGTCTCAAACAAACAACAAATAAATAAATTGGGAGGAGGCACCCAGCAGGCATCCTTTCGAGGGAGTGCCACACCCGTGGTTCTCACAGACCCAGCTGCCCCTTCAGTTCAGGGGTGGTGGACACCCGTCCTCACTGCCTGGTCACCTGAGCTGGCTGGCTTCGGGGCATCCTCTCCTCATCCCTCAGGAGGGCGGGGGAGAGCAGGCCCCGTGGCAGCAAGCTTCTCTGTCTCTGGGCCTGGCCGTCCCATGTTCTGGCCTCGGCCCCAAAGGCCTGGCCGTGTATCTGCCACCCACCGCCTTCCCTCCCTGGCGTCATGAACTGGTGTCTGAGGCCCTCGGGGGTGCAGTCCTGGCATCTGGAAGCGGTTTATTTTCAGCTGAAGTCTCTGGGTATTTGATTATTCATTGCCGAGAGAAGGGAATTAGCATCTCTGCTGTTTGTTTTATGAGATCACCCCAGTGCCAGGCTGCCGTTCCCAAGCAACCTGCCCTTCCCAGCTAATGAACCTGGTGGGCCGGCCCTCAGGCCCTACAGCCTGGGGTGACCGTGGCCTGGCTCACGGCGGGTGGTGTGCCAACCTGCACAGCCAGGTGTTCTCCTTCTTGTGGGAAAGGGGGCAAGAGGGGCCCTTTCCTGGAAGAACGTCGGCCATGTGTCCTTTGGCTTAGGAAGCAAACTACGTTTCCTATAGGGTGGGCACTGATGGGCTGGGCCTCACTGCTCCCTGGAAAAGGAAATAAACGCCATCCCTTCCTACCCCGCCCCACTTTCTAAAGTCCGCTCCCCGTGCCACTGAGAGCCGAACACCTCTGGCCTTGGTTCACCCCGGGCGCCACCGTTCCCTCTCCACTCTCTGGTTTCTCCAGATGCCCATTCCTCTGCCCACCAGCTCCCTCGAAGGGCTCCCCTGGGAGGCGCCAGGCTCAGCCGATGCTGCAGCCAGCCTGCCCCCACCCCATCCTCACTGTCTGCAGGTTCTTGGGGAGCATGAGGATCCTGCCGAAAGTGGGGCGATCCAGGGTGGCGTTCAGCAGCAGCCACTCCCCCCCACAGGCCCTGGAGGCAGCAGCTGTATCTCCCTTGCTGCTGTACTGAAAAAGCTCGAAACCAAAAACCCAGAGAATAACACAGCAAAACCTTGCAATCAAGACAGTAAAGCATCACGCGTAGAGGTGGACTCTCCCCTGCCCCTGCTTGAAGCAGCTACGGGCATGAATTTGGTGGATCACTTCTAGACCGCAGTTTGTGCGTTTACTGCGTATCCATATCTACTTTGGGCTTGGCATGTACTTTAAAAAAAAAAAAGCTTGCGGTTCGTGTGTAAAAGTGGATTTGCTGAGCAGTAGATAGGCTGTGCCTATCCTCAGCTTTATTAGTTCAACTGTTTCAGTGTTAGTAGTTACTAACAAATTGCTCTCCAAATAATTGTACTAATTTCCACTCCCCCGAGTGGTCTGTAAGGGTTTAAATTTCCCCATATGCTTGCCAGCCCTTGCTGTCAATTAGACTTTTAAATTTTTACCCTTCTGAGGAGTATAAAATATCTCACTCTGGCTTTAATTTGAATTTCTACCCTTTGCTCCCGTAAGAGGAAGTGCATATACACAGCCCAGAGAAGGCTGTCTGTAAATATTTGGGGAATTGACTTAGTGAGCCTCAGTTTCCCCTTTTGCAGAAGGGGCGATGGCATGTGCTGTGGCTGTCAGAGGAGGTGAGGCCGTCCGTGGCTGTGAATCAGGAAAAGCTTGCGTTTGATTCTCAGTGGTGGGCAAATGCGTAGTGAGGCAGGGGCTTTGGCTTCTTGGGGATAAAGGAGGTGGAAGAGGCGAGGACGGGGACCCCGAGGCCAAGGGAGGAAAGACAGCACCTTTATTTGTTGTTTTGTTTTGTTTTTGAGACAGAGTCTCACTCTGTCATTCAGGCTGGAATGCTGTGGTGAGATCTCAGCTCACTGCAACCTCCGCCTCCCAAGTTCAAGTGATTTTCCCACCTCAGCCTCCTGAGTAGCTGGGACCACAGGCGCGCCACCAACCACGCCTGGCTAATTTTTGCATTTTTAGTAGAGACGGGGGTTTCACCATGTTGGCCAGGCTGGTCTCGAACTCCTGACCTTAGGTGATCCAACCGCCTCAGCCTCCCAAAGTGCTGGGATTACAGGCGTGAGCCACCATGCCCGGCCCAGAAGGTGCCTTTCAATGCTGCGCCCCACACTCTACATGGGGAGGGAGACCCGAGCGGGCCACATGTGCCAACTCCCCCCAGCACACACACACCCGCCTCTCCCTGCTCTGGCTAATTCCAGGATGTGAAGGAAGTATGAGACATTAAGGGATTTCAGACCCTAGGAGGCCTTGATGATGCTGAGGAAAGCGAGACGCTGTGATGAGTTGAATTTCTAGCAGGCCGACAAAGGCCCTATCCCGATCTCCCCAACCCCAGACCTCATTGTTAGCCTTATTGGCTAAGCTAGTTTCCATGGAAACTGTCAAGTTCAAAGGGATGGTGTAACATGTCCATCCGTGCCTCTCCTCTGGTTCCCAGCTCATCCCGTGGAGCTGAGTCAGAGGTTTTCAGCACCCGGGTGCTCCAGGTGCTCTGCGAAACTTTCATCCATTGACTGATCCGCTCCCCTCCCGCTCCCCTCCTCTCCTCTGCTCCCCGACTCCTCCCTGCAGGCCAGCCAGCTTGGTGTGTACAAAGCGTTTGTGGATAACTACAAAGTCGCTCTGGAGACAGCTGAGAAGTGCAGCCAGTCCAACAACCAGTTCCAGAAGATCTCAGAGGTAGGCAGCTCCCGGCACAGCCACCCTGGCGGACGAAAGCGGGCGCTGGGGGAGCTCAGAGCCTTCCGGGCCTCGGGTCTCCCCTCCCTCGCTTGCCAGCCGGTGAGGTGGTTACTCCAATGCGTAACACTTAGCCTCATATTTGCTTTCTTGCACCTGACGTTTTCCCTCTTAATATAAAACTACTTTATTTTTTATTATTCTCTTTCAGATTAGAGAGAGGAACAAGGGAGGCAAAAAAAAAAAAAAAAAAAAAAAAAGGCAGTTTTTACCCACGCTCGGGTGACCCTGAGCAAGTGACTTCCCTCCTCTCAGCCTTCATTTCCTGTCCCGTAGAATGAGGGGTTTACACTCGGCCAGCTCATCCTTTTTTTGAGATGGAGTTTCACTCTGTCACCAGGCTTCGCCTCCTGGGTTCAAGCAATTCTCCTGCCTCAGCCTCCTGAGTAGCTGGGACTACAGGCGCCCACCACCACACCCGGCTAATTTTTGTTTCTTTAGTAGCTACGGGGTTTCGCCATGTTGGCCAGGCTGGTCTCGAACTCAGGTGATGTGCCCGCCTCAGCCTCCCACGGTGCTGGGATTACAGGCGTGAGCCGCTGAGCCCAGCTTGGCCAGCTAGTCCTAACCTTGCTGATAGGCATCAGCGGGCACTGTGATTTAAAACACAGATTTCCAGGCACCTTCCCTGGAGCTTCTGATTCGGGAACTTTGGATGGGGCCCGAGATTCTCTATTTGAACAAGCTTCTGGGTGATTTTTATGAATGGGAAGATGGGGAAATTTGGACTCGGTCGTCTTTGAAGATCCTTGCCCACTCTTAAGTCTGCAGTCCCATAAACAGAGAGGGCAGGAGCCACTTACGTGGAGAAGGAGCCTTGGAAGCCCGGCTGGGAACAGGTCTGTGTCTGCCTTTGTGGCTGCGCCTCCCTCCCGTCCTCCTCTGCAGGGCAGACGTGTGGCCCTATCTGCCACTCACATTTCTACCCGGGAGGACGCATGGAGGGGACAGCTGCTCCGGGTCCTTCAGGACAGAGCCCAGCTCATCCCTTTGTCCAAAAAGACCATGGTGACACCCTACAGCACCGGCCTTGCGGGAACAGCACCCAGCTGCCAGTTCAGGGCAAGAGAACCTCTACCCTAGAACGGGGGAGAGGCTTCTGCAGTTCTGGGGGTCATGCCCTAAAGGCCCCCCTTGGCCCTTTGTGTTCCCTGTCTCAGCTCTAATGCTGGAAGAGCTGGGGAGATACAGGGTGGTTTTCTGGAAACTTCAGGGGTGCAGGGTGATGCCCAGGTTTAGAATCCACCGAGAGGCAGCTGGGGCGCCAGGCAGACGGAGACGGGTGGGTCAGCTTGGTGACTGTTAGGGCACAGCTTGGAGGACACGGATTAGCATCTGTGGCCATAGTGGCCTTGCTGGCACTTCTCCTCTGGAATTAAATGTATCTATTGAGGCCAGCGTGGTGGCTCATGCCTGTCATCCCAGCACTTTGGGAGGCCGAGGCAGGTGGGTCACCTGAGATCAGGAGTTTGAGAGCAGCCTGACCCCATCTCTACTAAAATACAAGAATTAGCCAGGCGTGGTGATGGGTACCTGTAATCCCAGCTACTCAGGAGGCTGAGGCAGGAGAATCACTTGAACCGGGAGGCGGAGGTTGCGGTGAGCCGAGATCGCGCCATTGCACTCCAGCCTGGGTAGCAAGAGTGAAACTCCGTATCAAAAAAAAATAAAAAAGATGTCTGTTGAGTCCCTTGCAGGAACAAGGAACCACAGGCCCTCCCCACACTGAGGACAGAGCCCACCCCTCTCACCCTGTCTGCAGAGAGAGGAGTGCTGACCAGTTTCTTCTCCCAGACCCATGGAACAGAGGAGTCACCCTCTGCCTGGGAGGACGAAGTGCGGGGTGGGGAAGTCCCTCTACACGGTGTCAAGAGGCTGGAGAGGCTGGGCGCGGTGGCTCACGCCTATAATCCCAGCACTGTGGGAGGCCGAGGCCGGAGGATGGCTTGAGCCCAGGGGTTCAAGACCGGCCTGGGCAATGTGGCAAGACCCTGTCTCTATTAAAAATCCAAATAAAAGAGGCTGGAGAAACGGTGCTTCCCCTCTCGGTTCCCAGGCAAGCCGGGAACTACCCGACTGCCCTGGTCCATGTTCAGAGCGGCCCAGCCAAGGCCGCCCGAGAGCCCAGGGTCCCATACGGTCCAGAGTGTAGGCTCGGCTCTCAGCCTGGGCTGGCTGCCTGTTGTCTGTGCATGGACAGCAGCCCCCGCCCCAGCCGTGAGCCCCTCTCAAAGGCTGCCCACCCCGGAGGGCAGAGCCGCCAGTGGCTCTCCGCCAGGTGGCTCCTCCTCCTGAGTCACTTGATGACGTGCTTGCTTCCTGCTGGCGCTGCCACCTAATTATGGCAATTAGGCTCTTCGCTGCAGCAGGAGTGATTTCATAGCCCAGGCTTTGCTGGAGGGGGCTCGAAGAAAAATTCCCTGAATCTGGGAATCCAGGCACCAGCCAGAGACACAGCCTAGAGAAGCTGAGTAACCCCACCCTCCCTGTCCCCCAAAATATACACATACCCAAGCTCAGTCCCTGGGAGTTTTCCCTGTCTAGAAACAGCTTGAGACAGACGCAGGACGCTCCTGCTTTCTGGGGGCTTCCTTCCCTCCAGGCTGAGCAGGTGACATCACCTGGGCTCCTGACCTTGGCCTCGCCTTGCCCCCCACCTTCCCTCCCACACCCCTCTTTGACGCTCTGCTTGCTTTGTCTGCCAAGTGGGGATCGCATTTACAGCTCCAATTGCAGGCGACACTGACACCGTCCTGTGAGCAGAAGCTGAGGCTGGAACCTCTAAAGGAGGGTGACAGAGGCCTGGAGCAGACCAGTCCTCCCCGCGTCTGTTTCCAGGACTCACTCACTGCCTGTTGCCGGGCTCAGGGTCCAGGAGGACAGCCTGTTCCTCCCCTTCACCCTCCTGGAGGACACCCAGCACAGGCTGTGGTGGGTGGGGAGTGTCGGGGTGCCGGGGGCTGAGGAAGTGCCCTCTGATGGGGGTAGGATGCGGCTGGGCTGTCCTGGGAGCTCCACGTCTCTGCCCTAGGCCCGCCGTTTTGCTGCCTGCCCTGTGCAGGTGTGCAGGACCCCCTCCCTCTCTCACGGGCTGCTCACGCTCTGAAGATCGGCTGGCGCTTGTCAGCTCTACCCCTGTCTTTCAATGTGTAGGATTCCTGAGTAGGGGCTTCTGGGAGGGTTTCCTGTAACCTCAGGGCTCCCTGCCAGCCCCTCTCCAATCTGGGACCTGGAGTCCCTTCCTTCTTGCCCATGCCCCAGCTGCTGGACTCTACAAGGCTCCAGGAGCTCACAGCTGTGGGTGCAGGGGATGGGGGTGTCAAGGCAGAGGCAGTCCATGGCCACGGGCTCCTTTGTCTCTATTCTCATTTTTTTTTTTCTTGAGATGGCGTCTCGATCTGTCTCCCAGGCAGGAGTGCAGTGGCATGATCTCAGCTCACCGCAGCCTCCGCCTCCCGGGTTCAAGCAGTTCCTCTGCCTCAGCCTCCCGAGTAGCTGGGATTATAGGCGTGTGCCACCACACTCAGCTAATTTTTGTATTTTTAGTAGAGATGGGGTTTCACCATGTTGGCCAGGCTGGTCTCGAACTCCTGACCTCAGGTGATCCACTCGCCTCAGCCTCCCAAAGTGCTGGGATGACAGGTGTGAGCCACACACCGGCCTCCATTCTCACACTTGCACCCTGAGTTTCAGAGCTCCCCTCCCTGCTGGGCTCACGATGGGGGCTGGGGGTGGTGTTGGCAGACCAGGTAGTGATTCCTCTCCTTCCTTTGGCAGGAGCTCAAGGTGAAAGGTCCCAAGGACTCGAAGGACAGCCACACCTCGGTCACCATGGAAGGTACCTCGGGGAGGGGCCGGGTTACTGTCACCTTCCTTTGTCTGGCCATGTGGGCGCCAGGCTGCGTGAACGCGGCGCCCTTCCCCCTCACGCGCGCCTGAGTGTGAGTGTGAGCGTGCATGAGCGTGTGTGCGCGCACGGGAGGACTCCAGCCTCGTGCCCGGGCAGCCAGCCAGCTACAAACGTGCTCCTCTTTAGGATGCCAGCAGGCTGCTGGGTCCCTCCCTCCCTGCCCCTCCTCCCCTCCCCCTCCCTCCTCTCCTCACCACGCGCCTCCCGCCCCTCCCCCTAGCTGGAGGAGCACTCCAAAGCGGCTGCTGGATGCTGGGGACGGTGCGGCCGCTTCAGCAAGGTGGCTGAGTGGCCGGTGGGGCTGCTGGTGGGCACCGGGGTCCTGGAGCGATGGCTGCGCGCTCCCGCTGTGCGGACAGAGGCTGCCATGGAGATTCTCCTCATTATTCGCTTCTGCTGTAACTGCACCTATGGTAACCCAGGTGCCCACTGTGGGAGGTGGCGGACCCTCCCACCTCTGCGACTGGCTGGAGTGGGCTTGAATGTGCCGGCAAGGCCTGGGGGCCGCAGGGAGGGAGGGTGGGCAGGCGGCTGGCCCCGAATATCCCTTCGTTTCAGCCAGCATCCCGCCTAGAGTTGAAACCTGGGGGATGCTCAGGGCAGGGCTGCTTGGAGATGAAGGACCAGGCTGGCGGGTCCAGGTGCTCAGGATGGGTGGGGAGGGGGTGGCTAGTGTGGGAGAACTTCCTGCAAGGTCTGTTCGGGAGGGACGGTGATGAGCTGTGCCTGCAGACACAGCAGTCCTGAGGCCAGGGAGAGGGTCTGTGGGGGCCAGGCGCCGCGTGGGGATGGGTGACGAGGGGTGGCGATGGTCTGGACGGGTGACGATGGTGCCAGCCGAGGGGACCAGTGCGAGCCGGAGGGAGAAGTTGGGAGTTTCTTTGTTTCTGGAGCGAGGAGCGGAGGCTGGGCGGCGGGTATTGTGCTCCCAGGCACATGCTGCGGCGGGGGGTGGCGGGCGGGGGGGACACGGAGCAGCTGTGGAAGAGGAAGGAGCCCAAAGGCTTGTTTCCAGCCTTGAGAGACTCTTGAGCTGAGGTCCGGGCACAGGACTGTGGAAGGCAGGTCGGCAGGACCAGCGGGAGGGGGTGTGGCAGGAGGCTTTGTGAAGGTCACATACACACCACCAGTCAGCGGGACGGCCCGGGCCATCCTCCTGGTAGCCCCCGCCGCTGGCAGGGCACGGGGGCATCCTGGACAGGTGCATGCCATCAGCAGGGCTGGTGGTCATAGGACGGGGAAGCCACCTCCGGCAGGGAGGTGTCCAGGAGACTGTGGACTCTGGCCCAAGAGGCACGGTGTGCCAGGGGTGCCCATCTGCCAGTGGCAGGGAGAGGGTGGGCTCGGGTGGCTCCCAGGCCCGCTGCTCTGGGCCCGAGTCTGTGGGAGCGGCAGGCGGCTGGTTCTAGGACCTTCCACTTCCTTCCCACCAGGTGCTTGGGCTCTGCGCCCTCCTCAGCCACCCTGCTTTCCTGTCTCCCTGGTAACCCGGAGCTCCTTAGAGCTGAAGGGAGGGGGTGGCAGCTTGCTGGAGGAGGGGCCGTCCGTCTCCTGGGCTCTTTCCCAGGCGGCTGTGCTGGACGGGCCGCATGGCGCCATCACCCCCTGACCCTCTCAGGACCCTCGCGATGGAAGCAACCTCCGAGGTGTCCTCTCTCCTGCGACGCAGCAGGACGGCCCCAGGAACCCTGTCCTCACTTGAAATTGGCCTGGTCAGAGGTGAAATGGTCTTTTTGGTCTAGCCTAGGAGTTGGTCAGGTCTCAACTCTGCCTTCCTGAAAAGGAAATGTGCCCTGCTCGGCTTCCTCTCCCTTCCCCGAAAGGAAGCTTCGACTTGGTGAACCAGACCTGGACCTGGAGTTCATGCTGCTCTGGCCTCTGTGATTCTGTCTTTGAAGTCAGCTTCACGGTGGTAATGAGGACCGAAAGGGCCAGCTCGTGAGGACAGGGCTCACCCCATCCTGGTCATTCTTTCCAAGAACCCTCCTGTGGCTCATTGAGATTTTCCAGGTGCCGCCCTCCCCTGAGGAGGGGGCAGTCAACACGAGGAGCGTGGGTGGGTCTAAATTCAAAGCCCAGCTCCCTCCACCTGTAGCTCGGGTCGGTGAGCATGCCGCAGAACACCCCTGGCCTCAGCTGCCTTGTCTGTAAAATGGGGCCAGTGAGAATTGCTTCCCTTTTTAATCACAGGAAATAATGCAGGCAAAGCTGTCCCCTCAGAACCCTTGGGCACAGAGCGAGTACCCAGCCAACCACAGAGATACCAGCTTGCTGCCCAAGTCAGGGAGGAGTGGGGAGAGTGGGTGAGGTGGGCAGGAAGCAGGCCAGTCTGCCGGAGCTTGGGGACGTGGGAAGGCCAGAGTGAGCACCTCGTCCTGCCTTCTCAGGGGACCCCGGTATGGGGAGCACGAACGTCAGGGCCGCCCTTGTTCCCCATTCCCTCCCGATCTGACGTGGTCCCGGTGCCCTTTCCCGGAGCACCTGTCCCCCGGCCGCCCTCCCGGGCTCATTCTGCAGCCCTGCTCAGGTGGACTCTGACCGTCTGAAACCCAACCTGTCCTGTGTGCAGGCTTCTGAGCTTCGTCAGAAACCTCTTCCTCCTGGGACCCGCCAGAGGGCTGCAGGAGCCATAATGTGGTGTCAGCTTTCCCTGGGGCCGCAGCTCCGGGCCCCAGCCCAGCAGGTGTCTGCTGAGCTCACGCTTTCTTGGGGTCTCTGGGGCTCTCGAGTGTGCATTTTCGCCCTGAAGATGGGCTGAGCCACAGGTGGGTGCCTTAAGCAGAAATGGATCCCACCTGAGCTGGGAACTGGGCTGTACCTTCAGTGCCCCAGGACAGCCCAAGACTCGTCTTGTTCATTCAAGCTTCCGTGGCGCCAGGAGCGTCTCTGGAAATTGCTGGATACGCAAGGGCTACAGGTTTGTCACATGAAGTGTATTTATGTAACCAGGGGTTGGCCGGGGATGGTGGCTCCTGCTGGTAATCCCAGCATTTGGCAGACCGAGGCAGGAGGATTGCTTGAGGCCAGGAGTTCGAGACCAGCCTGAGCAACATAGTGAGACCTTGTTTCTATGTTTATTTATTTATTTATTTATTTTGAGACAGAATCTCGCCCTGTCACTCAGGCTAGAGTGCAGTGGTGCGATCTCAGCTCACTGCAACCTCCGCCTCCCGGATTTAAGAGATTCCCCTGCCTCAGCCTCCCAGTAGCTGGCATTACAGGCACCCACCACCACACTTGGCTAGTTTTTGTATTTTTTATAGAGATGGGGTTTCACCTTGTTGGCCAGGCTGGTCTCGAACTCCTGACCTCAAGTGATCCACCCCCGCCTTCGGCCTCCCAAAGTGCTGGGGTGACAGGCAGAAGCCACCATACCTGGCCCCTCATCTCTATTTAAAAAAAAATTAAATACATACATAAACCATAAAGCAGTGGTTTTCAGTCATTATCATACATTTGAATCAGTAAAGAAGCTTTTTAAAAATGCTGAATGCCCGTGCAGTCTTGCGGAGATGTGGGTTTAGTTGGCAGGCTGGGGGCAGGCGTCTGGGTCTTTTCACAGCCACACCCCACCCCAGTGATGTTGACGGGCAGCGGAGCTAGGCCTGCAGATAAGGCTGGGGGCCCTGCTGGGGCTGCGTCTTCCTGGCAGCCCGCATACGGCTCCTGAAGTATCTGCGTGGCTGCACAGCGCGGGGAATTCCAATCTGCGGCTTTGAAGAGCCCTTGGGTTTGGGGCCCAGCTTGGGCGTGGGTGCTGGCGCTGGGATCTGTCACAGCGGGTCCTATGGGACACCCAGTCGGGGAATCCTTCTTCCCAGGGACCATCCTGCCTCTCACTGCTCTTGTGGCTGGGGGCCAAGGTCGTGACCCCAGGGACAGAGCGCCCAGGTGCGGGATGGAAAGCTGAGCCTCCATGTTGGGAGAGGGGCGCAGCTGCGAGCAGGAAGGGCGTTGGGAAGTGTCGGTCTGGCAGCTGCCACCTCCGCCTATCCCTGCTGCCTCCCGGCCCTCCGCACTGGGCCACTTGGCATGTGAGTTGTGGAGGCTGCAGCTCGCGGGGGCTGGCTGGCCTCACCTGCGTTCCTCCAGCCTCTGTGCGGCCATCCTGTGCGAGACCTGGCCTGAGTTGCTTCAGGAAACCTTTGCCCCTCAGGCTGCCATGTGTTTGAGAGCAGAGACTTTTTTTTTTTGAGACAGAGTTTCGCTCTTTTCACTTAGGCTGGAGTGCAGTGGTGCAATCTCGGCTCACTACAGCCTCCGCCTTCCGGGTTCAAGTGATTCTCCTACCACAGCCTCCGGAGTAGCCGGGATTACAGGCACATGCCACTATGCCCGGCTAATTTTTCTATTTTTAGTATAGACAGGGTTTCACTGTGTTGGCCAGGCTGGTCTTGGAGAGCAGAGCCTCTCTGTGGAGATCAGGCCAGCCTCCCTGGCCTCCAGCCTATCCTGGGCTTGCTGTCTGGCATTTCAGGATGTGGGGAAGAGTCTTCCTCTGAGAGATAAGGCCTGTCTTGTGGGTTATAGCGAAGCGTGCCAATCCCAGCTGGCTGTGCCCGGCTGTCAGCTGCAGAGGCTAAGGCTGTTAAGGGCGCCGCCTCTCCTGAAAACACAGCGTGTCTCCTCCCATTCTGGGGTCCTGGGGATGGCCGGTGTGCTGGAGTCTGCAGGGTGCGGCTGGGTGGAGCTTTGTGATTCGGGCTGGGGGTGCCGTGCCCATCTGCCTTGAGCCAGGTGAGGCCAGGACGGGCCTGGGGGCGGCTCTCGAGGAAGCCTCGTGTGACGGGAGGAGATCCCGGGCTGCCGGGGCTGCACGTCACCTGTGTCTTCTGCGTGGTCTGCCCTGGGAGGGAGAGCCGGGGTGGAGGCTGCCATGGGCCCACTGTGCTGTCCCTCGGTGGGTGTTCCCAGGGGGGCGTGCGGGTGGGGGTGAAGCTGGCCCACTGTGCCATCCTTCGGGTGGGTGTTCCCGGGGCGGCGTGCGGGTGGGGGCAAAGCTGGCCTCTGAGGCGCTGGGTTGCCCTTGTCCGCCATCTTCCTCCCTCCCCCCTCCCACAGCTCTGCTCTACAAGCCCATTGACCGTGTCACCCGGAGCACCCTTGTCCTACACGTGAGTGTCAAGCCCCCGTGTGGCCAGAGAGCATAGGAGCTCATCGGGATACTGAGCCGGGTCAGAGGGTGCCAGAGTGTCTGAGAACGGCCCACGAGGGGAATCGGGGTTCCCGGGGCCCTCGGATGCCTGCCTGGCCCTCTGTCACCATGTCAGCAGGCCAGGGCCTCAGTACAGGCCCTAGGCCAGGGCCGCTAAGCTGGACACTGGGTCAGGTGCTCCCCAGGAGGCAGGCACTTCCCCTTCCCCACCCGCTGCCTCCTGGTCCCCAGGAGACCACTGCAGGGTGGGCACAGGGGCTTCTCCCCCAGCTGCTCAGCGGGATGAGCCTCCACCTGGTGTCCCCACTAGTGACAGCAGCAGGGAGAAAGGGAGGCAGCCAGGGCCCTTGTCCCTCACCCTCACCCTTTACCCCTCACCCCTGCTGCACTGGCTCTGATTTTTTTTTTTTTTTTTTTTGAGACGGAATCTTGCTCTGTCACCCAGGCTGGAGTGCAGTGGCGCAATCTTGGCTCACTGCAACCTCTGCCTCCTGGGTTCAAGCGATTCTCCTGCCTCAGCCTCCCCAGTAGCTGGGATCACATGTGCCTACCACCATGCCTGGCTAGTTTTTGTATTTTTAGTAGAGACGGGGTTTCACCATGCTTGTCGGGCTGGCCTCAAACTCCCGACCTCAGGTGATCCGCCCGTCTCGGCCTCCCAGAGCACTGGGATTACAGGTGTGAGCCACTGTGCCTGGCCTGCCTTTGATTTGTAGTTCAGATTTTGCAGGAATTCGGTGGGTCCCTGAGTGCCCACCCTTTGAATTCTTTTGGTGAGGACTGAGGACCCCCGTGGCTTCCCCTCGAGCCCCTCAGCCCACGGCCCACCCTCCACAGGATCTGCTGAAGCACACGCCCGTGGACCACCCCGACTACCCGCTGCTGCAGGATGCCCTTCGAATCTCCCAGAACTTCCTGTCCAGCATCAACGAGGACATCGACCCCCGCCGGACTGCAGTCACCACCCCCAAGGGGGAGGTGAGCCCAGGCTGAGAAGTAGGGTGGGCCAGACCCCTCGTCCCCTTCTCTCATGCACAGGCGGTGCTGTGTGCCCCGGCCTCTCCAGCCCGTTCTCCATCCCCAGCCAAGGAGAGGCCTTCAGTCCTCGGTCACCCTGATGACCTGCGGCATCCCCAGGCCTAGGCCAAGAGCTTTAAATCCAGTGTCTCATGAATCCTTACAATAACGGAGTGAGGCCGGGCGTGGTGGCTCACGCCTGTCATCCTAGCACTTTGGGAGTCCAGGCTGGGAGGATCACTTGAGGTCAGGAGTTCTTGAGACCAGCCTGGCCAACACAGTGAAGCCCCGTCTCTACTAAAAATACAAAAATCAGCCAGGCGTGGTGGCAGGTGCCTGTAGTCCCAGCTACTCTGGAGGCTGAGGTGGGAGAATCACTTGAACACGGGAGGCAGAGAATTCAGTGACCCAAGATCAAGCCACTGCACTCCAGCCTTGGTGACAGAGTGAGACTGTGTCTTAAAAAAAATAATAATCCAGTGAGCCAGAAAGGACACTGAGACTGGACAGTGTCCAGGTCTGCCACAGGTCTCTGAGCTGGATTGTTCACCTGGGCTGTCGGGACGCCAGTGCGTTCTGCCCCACGCCGGGGAAGCCGGCCTCTGGCCTCCTGCCCCTTGAACGCGGACACCTGCCTCTGGCCAGTGTGGGCCTGTCGGGGTCCCGGAGAAGCTGAGGGGGCAGGGGCTTGCAGCTGCTTCAGCTTGGCCTGCACAGGCAGCAGCCCGAGGAAGCCTGCAGCAGGAGAGGCTGCTGGGACGTCCAGCGGGCACCTGGATGGGGAGCTCCCGGGGGCCCTTCGCGGTGGAAGGGCCAGGGCAGCCCAGTGAGGGGAGAGCAAGGAAGCCTGAGGGGCACGGTTGCCTCGTGGGTCAGCAGCTGGACCCACACAAAACACCTTCTCAGGGGAGGTCATGAGGCGGCCCTGGGGAGCAAGGCCGACCGCGTTTCTGCTCCTCTGGTCTGTTTATGATGCCCAGGGGTCTCCTGGGGGGAGAGTGGTGAGGGGCAGGCCTGGGCAGTGTCCGCTGGGCAGAGAGAGCCGATTCTGAGTGGTTCCCGGTGCTGGCATGCAGCGTCCGGGGAGACCCTCGTCTGTTTCACTCCGGGGCATCTGAAAAATCTCCAGGGCTTTGCATACCCTCAGCTTTCGCTCGTCTGTTTTTTGGTTTTCTGAGACTGAGTCTCGCTCTGTGGCCCGGGTTGGAGGGCCATGGTGCGGTCTCGGCTCACGGCAGCCTCCGCATTCTGGTTCCAGCAGTTCTGTGTCAGCCTCCTGAGTAGCTGGGATCACAGGTGCTCACCACCACGCCCAGCTAATTTTTGTATTTTAGTAGAGATGGGGTTTCACTCTGTTGGCCAGGCTGGTCTTGAACTCCTAGCCTCAAGTAATCCACCCACCTCAGCCTCCCTAAGTGCTGGGATAACAGGTGTGAGCCACTGCGCCTGGCCTCGGGCAACTTACTTATATGCTTTCAATACACTCACCTCATATCACAGCAGGTGTAGGTGATACCCCGTATCTCACACACAGGAAAGGCTGGGATGGATGGTGACGGCCCCCAGCTCTGAGCAGGTGGGAGGGAACTCTGAGGGAACCAGAGCCAGGTGAGAGGCGGCTGCAGGTCCCCTCTGGACACTGTTGCAGCCCCAGGGAGGACGGCCCAGGTCTCCCATCCCCGGGGGCTGGAGAAACCACGGAGAAGCCTGAGCGGGTCTCGGGTCACAGTGGATCTGGGACTGGATGAAGTTCGTGGCTTCGTTGGGAGGGGTTGCAGGTAGGCGTGTTAGTGCCCCGGAGGGGAGGAACCGGGTCGTCCTGGGCAGGGGCGCCAGGGGTGGCGTGGAGAGCCCCCCTACTGCGCACACTTGCTGTGCTGTTTTCCATGCACCACCTCTGTGAGTCACCTTTGGGGAGACATCATTGTGCCCACTGGACAGAAGGTAAATCTGAGATTCAGAGAGGTCAGGGAGGCCAGGGAGATCCCAGCTGAGAAACCTGCCTGGATCCAAGCCCACGTCCGCGGGACTCCAGAGGCAGTGCTTTCACCACCTTTGTTACGGGGTTGCAGGCCACACCGCCCCCCAGTTCAGCCCTCCCTGGCTGCCTGTGCCCTTGCGTGCAGGCTCGGCCCCTGGCCCACTCCCCTCTGAGCAGCTGGGGGTCTGCCCTCTCCCTCAGACGCGGCAGCTGGTGAAGGATGGCTTCCTGGTGGAAGTGTCAGAGAGCTCCCGGAAGCTGCGGCACGTGTTCCTCTTCACGGATGTCCTACTGTGTGCCAAGCTGAAGAAGACCTCTGCAGGGTGAGTGTGCAGGAGTCCAGGGGCACGGGGCAGAGGCAGCGGGCCAGACACTGCCCCCTGATGCACCCTTCAGCGACCTTGTGGGTTTCTTTTTCTTTTGAGACAGGGTCTTGCTCTGTTGCCCAGGCTGGAGTGCAGTGGCGCTATCTCGGCTCACTGCAACCTCCACCTCCTGAGTCCAAGCGATTCTCCTGCCTCAGCCTCCCAAGTAGCTGGGGTTACAGGTGCCCACCACCACACCCAGCTAATATTTGTATTTTTAGTAGAGACGGGGTTTCACCATGTTGGGCAGGCTGGTCTCGATCTCTTGACCTCAGGTGATCCTCCTGCCTCAGCCTCCCAAAGTGCTGGGATTACAGGCATGAGCCATTGCACCCAACCAGGTTTTCCTTTTTTTTTTTTTTTTTTTTTCTTGAGATGAAGTCTCACTCTGTCGCCCAGGCTGGAGCGCAGTGGTGCAATCTCATCTCACCATGACCTCCGCTTCCTGGGTCCAAGCAATTCTCCTGCCTCAGCTTCCCAAGTAGCTGGGACCACAGGCACGTGCCACTATGCCCGGCTAATTTTTTGTACTTTTAGTAGAGGCGGGTTTCACAGTGTTACTAGGATGGTCTCGATCTCCCGATCTCGTGATCCACCCGCCTCGGCCTCCCAAGGTGTTGGAATTACAGGCGTGAGCCACTGCACCTGGCTGCTTTTTGCTTTTTTAAAGAAATCCATGGACCAGGTGAAGTGGCTCATGCCTCTAATCCCAGCATTTTGGGAGGCCGAGGCGGGCAGATCACAAGGTCAAGAGATTGAGACCATCCTGGCTAATGCAGTGAAACCCTATCTCTACTAAAAATACAAAAATTAGCTGGGCGTTGTGGTGTACACCTGTGGTCCCGGCTACTCGGGAGGCTGAGGCAGGAGAACTGCTTGAACCTGGGAGGTGGAGGTTGCAGTGAACCGAGATCGCACCACTACACTCCAGCCTGGCACCTGGCGACAGAGCGAGACTCTGTCTCAAAAAAAAAAATGTATGAATTAATTTAATCTCACTACGTAGCCCTTTATTTCCTGAAAATAAGTCATGTTTTTAATTATAACGATAATATAAGGACATTAGAGGAAACGCCGTCTCCACTGAAGCATAAGTGTCAGTCTCCCGCCGAGACGCTTCCTTCCCTGTGTTTAAATGTTCTCCTGTTCCTGTGCAGCCGTCATCAGAGCGAATGCCCAGCGGGGGGCTCTGCCGCTCTGTTTTGCGTTTTCCCTGTTGCTCTCTTGTCCTCATCGTCATCATCTTACTTCCCTCACGACATTAGCGGTGGATGTGCCGTTTACTTAAACCTTCTTCTATTAGACCTCTCCAAGTTCTTGCTGGCTGCAGCACTGTGAATATTCATCCCAGCTCCTGCTACTATTATTGAGGGTTTAGGCCATGCCAGCTGCCGTGACAGATGCTTTGAGTGCATTATTTCTAGTCCTCCCAGCACCTCCACTAAGTAGTGACTGTTGCTCCCTTGTCACGGGTGAGAGAGAAGCGTCAGAGAAGGTAGATGAGCTGCTCATGGTTGCCCAGCTGGAGGCACAGGTGGGATCGGAGTCCCACGGAATGTGAAAGCTGCCTGGTGCCTCCCTCTCTGTACCTGGGAACGTGGGTCTGCGCTGTGCCCTGAGCAGAGAGGCTCATTCAGTTCCACTCACACACTCTTCCACCCACATTTCCTGATCACCTTCAGTGTGCCAAGCACACCCCTTCTCACCGCTGAGAAGCAGCAGTCCGCATCCAAACCCAAGTCTGTGTGACTCCAAAGCCAGTGTGCTCACCACCAGGCTGTCTTTCCTCTGCTTTCAGCCCCCCGGCTGGCTGTGCCCCTGAGTACTGCACAGGGGCAGCAAGCTATGAGCCCACCACAGCACTCAAGGGTCAGAATGAGAAGTGCAAATCTAAGTCCTAGGGGAAGGATCGATCATTATGAACTTCAGTAAAGGGCAAGGCTGGTCAGGCGCGGTGGCTCACGCCTATAGTCCCAGGACTTTGGGAGGCCGAGGTGGGTGGGTCACCTGAGGTCAGGAGTTTGAGACCAGCCTGGCCAACATGGTGAAACCCTGTCTCTACTGAAATTACAAAAATTAGCTGGGCATGGTGGCGTGCACCTGTAATCCCAGCTACTCATGGAGCTGAGCCAGGAGAATCGCTTGAACCCTGGAGGTGGAGGTTGCAGTGAGTGGAGATCACGCCATTGCATTCCAGCCTGGACAATGAGCAAAACTCCATCTCACAAAATAATAATAATAAAGGGTCTGACTCTCTGAACTAGGTCATATTTGAGATGATCCTAAGGCAGGGATGGTGATGATAATCACACACGCCTCTGCCTGTCATCCTTTGCCATGGCAGACATTACTAATCAATCAACGATGGCAGACACTACTAATCTGGGCACGCCTTCTTGCTAGACTTGGATGTGGCTTGTAATCCTTCATCCAGTGTAGACCCATGTGACCTCCCATGATGAGAGTTGGCATTCAGAATAACACCTGTATTCCAGTGTTAGCCTGAAGGATAATGAACGTGGATAGTCTAGAAGGGAGGGAGGGTGTGGGATGGGGTAGGAAGCTGTGAACCTGGCCGAGGGGGCTTTGCTCTTCTTGATACCCCAGTGATCTGGGGCGTTTGACAGCATGAGTCATCTGGGCCAGCAGCCTGGGAAGGTGGGCGGGCACAGTGGCTCCCTGCAGGAGGGCAGGCGGGCCGCAGGACCTGGCTCTTGGCACTGCATATGTGTTTCCCGGCCAGGCTCCTTGGGAGCAGGGGTTGTTCTTGCTTCTGGCGAGTTCCCAGTCCATCCTCGTCAGTGTGTGTGTGTGTGTGTGTGTGTGTGTGTGTGTGGTTCCGGACCCAGGACTTCGGCTGGAAGAGCCTTCCCGCTCTGGCTCACGTCTCCCTCCGGCTCGCTTGCAGGAAGCACCAGCAGTATGACTGCAAGTGGTACATTCCCCTGGCCGACCTGGTGTTTCCGTCCCCCGAGGAGTCTGAGGCCAGCCCCCAGGTGCAGCCCTTCCCAGACCATGAGCTGGAGGACATGAAGATGAAGATCTCCACCCTCAAGAGTGAAATCCAGAAGGAGGTGAGCAGTGCTTGGCCTCCGAGCCAGGGACGCTTTGAGGCAGGCGTGCCAGGGGAAGTGGAGGCGGGAAGTTGTCAGCTTTGAGAGTTTGAGAGGGAGCCCTTGAGTGTGTACTTACCAAGGGAAAGGTCCTGAGTGCAGTAGCTCTGAGCAGATCGAGGGGATCAGTGCTCAGGGTTTCATGGGGCTGATTGTGGAAGGTGTCCTGGAAAGCAGCGCAGGTTGAACACGACAGAAAGGGGAAGCAAGCGGCCGGACGCAGTGCCTCCTGCCTGTGATCCCAGCACTTTGGGAGGCTGAGGTGGGTGGATCACCTGAGACCAGGAGTTTGAGACCCGCCTGACCAACATGGCAAAACCCTGTCTCCTAAAGTACAAAACTAAGCCAGGCGTGGTGGCATGCACCTGTAATCCCAGCTACCCTGGAGGCTGAGGCAGGGGAATTGCTTGAACCTCGGAGGCAGAGGTTGCAGTGAGCCGAGATTGTGCCATTATGCTCCAGTCTGGGCAACACAGTGAGACTCTGTCTTAGAAAAAAGTTGGGGAGGGAGAAGCAAGGGAAGAAAAAGCAGCTTTTATAAGGAAAAGCAGGACCTGTGCAAGGAAGAGGACCTGGGAGGCCTCTCAGAAACAGACAGATCAAGTAGGCAAATAAGGAGAGAGAGACCCTGAATGCCACAATTAACATGCTTGACCTAAAAATGCAAGGAGGCTTGTGCCCTGACAGAAAACTGATTCTTGTCACACAAGTGTGGAACATTCACATTTATCCTATAATAGGCCACCAAAGAAATCCCAAAAGTTTTCAAAAAGTTGATAGCGTGCAAGTCACGTTCACAGACAAAGTGGAGTAAAATTAGAAACGGACAAGGACATTGGTTAGTCCAAGTGTGGCAGCTCACGCCTGTCATCCCCACACTTTCGGAGGCCGAGGGGGGCGGATCACCTGAGATCAAGAGTTTGAGACCAGCCTGGCCAACATGGTGAAACCGCATCTCTACTAAAAATCTAAAAATTAGCTGGGCATGGTAGCAGGCGCCTGTAATCCCAGCTACTCAGGAGACTGAGACAGGAGAATTACTTGAACCCGGGAAGCAGAGGCCACGGTAAGCTGAGATTGTGCTGGTGCACTCCAGAGCCTGGACAACAAAGTGAGACTGTGTCTCAAAAAACAAAAAGAGAATATTGATTAGCCATATGTTTGGAAAGTTCAAACTGACAAGGTAATGAGGAAATCAAAATGGGAACTGCAAACTGTTTAGACCTGCCTGAGAATGAGCGTCCTACATACCAGTACCCCTGGATGCAGCCAAAGTGCTGTTGAGAGGAAAATGCATAGCCTTCGATTCCTGTATTCAGAAACAGTGCTATAGGAAGGCACCACCAGAGGAGCCTTCCCAGGGCGCTGAAGGGACAGCCTGGAGTGGCTTGGTCATCTTGGTCTCTTTCTTACCTCTCAGGTTCAGCTTAGGCTTCACCTCCTTGGAAGCTTTTCTGACACCCACCCCCACCACAGCATGGGCTGGGTGCCCTGTCCACAGATCCTGATGTTCACCTGTGGCTTTGCTTTGATGCTGCTGAATTACAGTTGCATCGTCAGCCTCGTCTCTTCCCCACTAGAATTTGAACTGCAGTGAGAGGGGTATTTTCTTCTATGTTCCTAATACTTGACACATTAAAAAATAGGTACTAAGGGCCCAGCACTGTGGCTGACACCTGTAATCCTATCACTTTGGGAGGCGAAGGCGGGTGGATCACGAGGTCAGGAGGTCAACACCAGCCTGACCAACATGGTGAAGCCCTGTCTCTACTAAAAATACAAAAATTAGCCGGGCCTGGTGGCGCACGCACGCACGCCTGTAATCCCATCTACTAAGGAGGCTGAGGCAGAATTACTTAAAACCCAGGAGGCAGAGGTTGCAGTGAGCCAAGATGGCACCATTGCACCCTAGCCTGGGCAACTGAGTGAGTGAGACTCCACCTGAAAAAAAAAGGAAGAAGAAGGTATTGAAGAAAACGTGACCAGATGGTCTCTGTAAGGGTTCTTTCGATCCAAGGGCCTCTCTTTGAACTGGGAAAAGGAAGATCCCTGTTACGGCCCCCGGGCGTTCAGGGCAGGGGGATGTCCTAGGGCAGAGGGTCTAATTGCGGGGCATCTGCCTGAGGGAGCTCCCTCACCAGCATAGCTGTCCCCTCCCGCATGGCCAGGAGTCTCTGCCCAGGAGCATCCAGCGTGCCTGTCTCTTGCCCCGGGGGTCAGTAGGCTTCCTGCCCTCCCGCTGCCCCCGCTGTGCAGACGTGGCCTCCGACTCAGTCAGTGTCACTGAGCTCTCTGGCTCTGTGGCCTGGGGTGTGCCGGGTGCCATCTGCATTCCCCGGCCAGTGGAGGAAGCAGACACGCCCCTTGCTGACCACAGAGCAAGGCACGTGTGGTGACTCACTGGAGAGGCCCTGGTGTCACCCTCTGAGTCACAGAAGGAGCAGTGATTTGTTCTTCTAATAAGAATGTTTAAAACGCTCATGTTTTTCTCATCCCCAGTGTAGTACTGGCTTGTTCTAATGAGAAATGCTCACGGCACCAGCATGTACAGGTGGTCGCCACCCGCCTCCCATCGCTGACAGTTTGAGGTGTACTCTTCCAAATTCTACCTGTACTGGTGTGTCCGTGTGTGCATGTGTGTGGGTGTGTGCGTGTGCATGCGTGTGCATGAGAATGGGTGTACTGGTCACCCAGGCTGGAGTGCAGTGGTGCAATCTTAGCTCAGTGTGCATGTGTCTGCGTGTGTGTGCATACGTGTGTATGTGTGCATGCAAGTTTGTGTGCACGAGAGTGGGTGGGTGGGTGTGTGCATGTGTGGGTGTGTGCACGCAAGTGTGCGAGTGCATGCCTGAGTGCGTGTGCATGCATGTGCGGGTGGGTGTGCACGAGTGTGCCTGTGGGTGGGTGGGTGTGCGTGAGTGTGCATGTGTGCACAAGAGTGCGTGTGCATGCATGTGTGGGTGTGTGTACGAGTATGCGTGGGTGTGTGTATGAGAGTGTGAGTGGATGTGGGTGGGTGGATGTGTGCTGAGTGTGTGCATGGATGCGTGAAAGTGCATACACGTGTATGTGCATGTGTTTGTGCAGGTGTGTGTGCGTGAGTATGCATGGATGTGCACACAAGTGTGTGCATGTGTGGATGTGCGCACGAGTACATGTGTTTGGGTGTGTGTGAGTGGGTGTGTGCGCATGAGTGTGCCTGCATGTGGGTGGGTGGGTGTGCACGCGTGTATGCGTGTGCCTGGGTGTGTGCACATGTGAGCATGTGTGGGCACGTGTGTGTACAGTGAGACTAGACTACACGTGCTGATCTGCAGCGTGAGCATTTCATGTCATAGTGCATCTTTGAGCCCTTTGGATGCATCAGATTCTTTTTTTGTTTTGTTTTGTTTTTTTGAGATGGAGTCTTGCCCTGTCACCCAGGCTGGAGTGCAGTGGTGCAATCTTAGCTCAGTGCAACTTCCACCACCCAGATTCAAGCTATTCTCCTGCCTCAGCCTCCAGAGTAGCTAGGATTACAGCACATGCCACCCCGCCCAGCTAATTTTTGTATTTTTAATAGAAATGAGGTTTTGCCATGTTGGCCAGGCTGGTCTCAAACTCCTGACCTCAGGTGATCTACCCACCTTGGCCTCCCAAAGTGCTGGGATTACAGGTGTGAGCCACCACGGCTGGCAATTTCAGATGCATTTTTTTTTTTTTTTGAGATGCAGTGTCATCAGGCTGAAGTGCAGTGGTGTGATATCGATTCACTGCAACCTCCACCTCCCGGATTCAAGCGATTCTCCTGCCTCAGTCTCCTGAGTAGCTGGGACTACAAGCACGTGCCACCACACCCGGCTAGTTTTTATATTTTTAGTAGAGATGGGGTTTCACCATGTTGGCCAGGATGATCTCAATCTCTTGACCTCGTGATCCGCCCGCCTCAGCCTCCCACAGTGCTGGGATCACAGGCGTGAGCCACCGCACCTGGCCCCTCAGATCCTTTTTAACAGCTGAATCCTGCCCTGCTGCTTGACTGCACACAACGTTTTTGGGTATTTAGATTGTTTCTGATCCTTCGCTCTCAGCAGGCAGGTCCACGCAAACATCACCGTGCACGTGTGTCTCTGCAGTAGCTTGCCTCCAGGGGGACGGTCGGGTGGAGTGAGTGTGCAGAGTTGCCCGGCTTACCTCTGAAAAAGTTGTGTCTGGTGACGTTCCCCCTGCGGTGAGCAAGACTCACTGTCCCCCACAGTGTCACAACACCGGCTGTGAACATTCATTACAGTTTTGCCAGTCCAGTGAGTTAAAAAAAAAAAAAAAAGAAAAAAGAAAAACACTACAGAGATGAATTCTGGCTAAGGAGCTTGAAGACGGCCTTGGGAGCTGAGACTTGAAGCATAGTTGTGGTTAATAAAAGGGAGGGAATCCTTCATGAAACAGACAGAAACTTGGAACATTGAGCAGGTGGCCTCTGCCAGCCATGGCTGGTTAGGGAGGGAGGCTGAGCCCAGGGAGCGGGATGGGTTATCTGCTGGGCAGGGAGGCTGGAACCCTGCCACGGGGTCTGGGTGCCAGGCCAGCAGGCGGGGCTTTATGCGGAAAGGCATCTGAGGTTTATTAAAGCAGGCGTCTCTGTTGTACCCAGGGTTTAACGTATGGAGGCAACAGGGTGACGGCACAGAGCTACCATCATATTCATATTGTTCAGGGCTCCCCAGAGAAGGAGGCGTAGGGCCCCGCCCAGGGCCACACAGGGAGGCGCCGGCGTTGAACCGGAGGTGGGAGTGGAAGGAAGGTGTGGCCACAGCTTTCCTGTGTTTTCTGTGGAGAAGCAGGGGAGGGCAGGGCAGGGAAAGGCTTGGCACTGGCTGGCTTCAGTGATGTTGGCAGCCCTGGGCTGGAGGGGTGGAGGGCTGGTCTCTAGTGACCTGGGTCCTGGCCCTGCGTGGTATGGGGCAGAGGAGATGCTGGTTTGGTGAGTGGGGGTCAGTAGGGAAGGTGCTTGGGATGCGGGCTCTGATCAGTTGTGCGTATGAAAGGCGCTCACAGGGCGTCATTTAGTGTTAGGAACCAGCGAGCCCTGGATGGAGCTGTTTCTCACCCAGGTACCCCCGCTCCTGCCCCAAGGTGTCAAAACATCACGAAATACAGAAAATTTAAAGAGCATGGCCGGGCAGGTGGCTCACACCTGTCATCCCAGCACTTTGGGAGGCCGAGGCAGGTGGATCACAAAGTCAGGAGAGCGAGACCAGCCTGGCCACGGTGAAACCCCGTCTCTACTAAAATGCAAAAAATGAGCTGGGCGTGGTGGCGCGTGCCTGTAGTCCCAGCTACTCGGGAGGCTGAGGCAGGAGAATTGCTTGAACCTGGGAGGTGGAGTACGCAGTGAGCTGAGATCATACTATTCACTCACTGCACTCCAACCTGGGCGACACAGTGAGACTCTGTCTGAAAAAAAAAAAGCCATGATTAACACGGGAAAGTTGTGCTGAGCAGGGCCTGTGAGAAGGGGTGCCCGAGTGTGAGCGACCCTCCTTGTCCCCGTCTCCTGCAGAAAGCCAACAAAGGCCAGAGCCGGGCCATCGAGCGCCTAAAGAAGAAGATGTTTGAGAACGAATTCCTGCTGCTGCTCAACTCCCCCACAATCCCCTTCAGGATCCACAATCGCAATGGAAAGGTCAGGAGGGTGGGGTGGGACAGGACACCCCTGCTTAGTCCTACACTGCCTGCCCTATGGCTCCTGGCCCTGACCTGCAGGAACCAGAGCTCAGGCCCCCTCTTCCTAAGGAGGCTGCCATGGCTCCGGCAGTTGACTCACGCTCCCCACTTGTGTGGAGTTAGTGCCCTCTGCTGGTCTTTTCTGGCACGGTGCTCCTGTCACCTTGGCTTCCCAGGAAGGAGCTGCCCCTCCACCCATCCACCCCTGGCTACCTCCTCCAAGGTCAGCAGTGCCTGATAAGGAGGAGCTTTGGGCCGGCACAGTGGCTCAGGCCTGTAATCTAAGCACTTTGGGAGGATGAGGC